AAAAGATTTCAAAAAACCCAAAAAAACCAAACAAAAAAAAAAAAAAAAAACACCCCAAACCCCACAAAACCTAGAATAAGTTTGTAATTAAGTTTACATTAGGGGGCTACCAGAATTAGAGACAACTTGCACGTTTCTTAAAAGAAAATACACTTTTTTTTTTCCAAATAAGATCTGTATGTAGTAGTAAAAAGTCATATTTACTTGGATAAGAATAGTTACGAATTTAGCAGGAATTTTAAAGTAAATTTCTCCAATATTTTTATATTCTATGTTTACCCTTCCCATGTGTGAGTAAGGCTAGGAGCACTTGTAGCTCTGCACCCAGCATCAGTCTGTGATGAACACATATTCCTAGACAAGGTAGTAATTATGTTCTAATACTTGTAAATATGTGAGTCCTTGCATACCTCTATTATTACATGTAGTTCTGTTGAGTCATAATTAACTTGTGGGAAGAGGTAAGATCATATTTAACAATCCATTTTCAGCATTGTGTGATACACATTCAGTAGTTTATGCTTTTTAATTTGAAGGAACCATTAATGTTCAATAAAAGTGCTCCATGTGGATTGGCTTAGAGACTGTTTTGACTCCTGAATTACAGTATTACTTATTTAAAGTCTGATGGCTACATGGGTGAACTTTTTTCAGGCTCCTGTGAGTAAGAAAATGCTATTTTGACATTACAACTGCATAACCTGCAGAAAGTAATGCCATTGCATTTCTTGTTATATTCAGAAGGTTTGGAGAAGTGTTTTTCTGGCTTTCATTGAAAATTCTAAATCATAAACTTCTTTCTAGGACAGTGGGTGTGTATGGGAAGATGATTAGAACCACTTGTTTAGCTGCAAATATCAACAGGCAGGCTAGAATGGGCTAAAAACGCTACAATGATAGATGTTTCTAAACCCCTATTTTTAATCAACTGCTCCGATGAAGATAAATTACATTATGCCAATGTAAGTGTACTTTTATGGGTACATGTCGTGTAGAACAGAGTTTTTCCATCTCTTTTTTTATACTGAGTTTTGGAAATAGAAGCTTTTCTCCTTGGGTAGGGCACTGGCATTTCTGCAGTTGTTGCTAGTTGGAATATGGGTTCCTGTTGGGAAGAAAGTGGGAAAGCTGCTTGGCCTAGGCTTCCATCAGGTTATCTGTTAGACTGACTCTCTGTAAGAAGGTGAATTGATGGGAGGAGATAACTTTATTTCATTTCCCCAGGCAAAATCCCTTGGAAGTTTTTGGAATTACTCGAAGCAGCCGGCATAGGTGGAGCTACTGCTGTATCAGTCATGGATTGGGAAGTGCCAGGTCATGGCAGCAGAGCTGATTAACTCTGTAGGTGGTTGTGGCATAGTGCTGAGGCAGCTGGATGACTGCTGGTGGCACCTGCAGCGGTGGTTCATGACTTCCTGCCCCAATTCACTCACTTCAACATAAAGAGTTTTTAGGTAGCAGAAGTGTTTTCAACTTTTAGTCCTGTTAAATCAGTTTACTCCTGTGACCTTTAATTTTCTGAGCCTCTCGGATGGTTTTAATATGGAACCAGCAACTCTTGGTGGGGAGTTTTATAGGGGAGCTGGTGATGTAACTCCATTCACTGCAGGCATGCAGAGTGTCCCCTCTCATTTGTGACTCAAGCTCATGTGCAAAATTTGTCATCTCTTAGGATTTACAAAACTTGCAGGGTTTCACAAGGAAGGTTTTTGACAAATGCTGTTGTGGTCATAAGCTCCATCTCATGTGCAGGCCTGTTTTGGCAGCTTATTGTTAGGTGTGATTGATGGGAGATTCAAAGAAGGTGTTGCCTTTCCACAGTACTGTTTCTTCATTGCTTGGAGCACTGTGACTGTTCATCAGTGCTGACTCATTCATGGATTCCTCTTCAAAGAAGAGTGTTATTCAGTTGATGGACATTCTTAGGAAGTGCAAGAAGCTGTTTCTTCACTTAGAGCTGTTTAGTCTGGCAACCTGTACATTATGAAGGTGACTAAAAAGAAAATACGAATCTTCTTCCAGATGAGATGTTTGGAATAGTTGGCTACAGGTTCCTACAAAGATTGTAAAATGAGTAATCCCATTGAAGTCAGTGACTCAACTCATTGCATGAAGACTGGCACAGATAGAAACTGTGCAGTATGCTCTCCCTCTGGACAGTAAGAACTAAAGTCAGTGTTTAAGTCGTAGTGTTGCAGGGTGTACTTTCTTCCTGAAGTGGAAACAACCTGTGTGCTCAGTGTTCAGTCAAATAAGGCGGATTTCTGCTTGAGACTGAAGTGAAAAATTAAGTCTTTGTTGCTGTAAACGCTTGCATGTGTGTGTGGTTTTGCTTCCTAATCAGATATCTACAGAACAGCTGGCACTATACAGTTTCTTTCATAATTCATGTCAGATTCGTGGAAGCCTTTCTTTGCCAAAGGATTACTTAGATTTCTCTCTCTAATAGGTAGCATGAAGAAATCTGTAACATTTAGGATACCCTTGCTAGTGTCTGGTTGCTTTTGTCCCTTTGGCTGAAATGTAGTTTTATTGCTACATGAGGAATTAATAACAGTTACCTATAGCTAACTTCTCTTCAAGCATCAGCATTCATTTATGCATGGAAAAAAAACCCCATAAAATCTAGTTGTGTGTTTTATGGGTACAGGGTGGTTGTTCCTGGAGCTTTACTCCAAAGGCATAGGGGAGGCTAAGGAGAGGCAGGAGGACAGGATCACAGCTCTGGTCTGCAAGTGTTATGTTGGCTTCATCAAATGTGTGTTATAGACCAAGTTTGATAGTTAATTTTTTGATGAGTAGAAGACTAAGACATAGAACATTTGCCTTTATGTTCTGCTGTAGAGATCTCTTACAGTTTTGTATGCCACTGTGCTTTCCTTGTGTTAGGAAGTAGGTGATGAGGAATGAACTGCTGCTCATAATTTGTAGAGCAGAGGCCAGTTTGAGGAAGTTCCGGTCTGAAACTCAGTGTATATGAATTTATTTGTATTTTTCCTTGAAAAATTTTAGAATGTCAAAAATGAGTGAATTGGTTGTGCTGATCTCATAGTTGGAAAGTAGAGGGGTTTTTGCTTTTGTTTTTTTGTATCTTGTATGCAATAGATGGTGCTTGTTTAAAAAAAACGTGTTTCCAATATAGCAATAAATTCTATCTTGAGTGCATTTACTGAGTTTGGATGTTTTTTGTTTTGTGAGACCTTGGAAATGGATTTTTGTTAGTAATTATTTAATTGGATACAGTGATAACATGGAATTTAGAGCAAATTTAATTTAGTGAATTGCCAGATGAGCACTGTATGCTGTCAAAATTTGAAATTTATCACTAGGGGTTAGGTGGGGTGGTGAAGTGTGTGTGGAAATAAATCTGTCAGTCTCTCCAAAAGCTGAAGTAGAGATACAAAATAAGATTGATTACTTATGACTGTCCATCACAGATGTGCACTTTGTGAAAAGCCAAGTTTCTGTCTTCAGAATCCTTTTGTACACAAATCAGTGTGTGTAGCTGGGGTTATAATATATGTATGAGTTTATATAGGCTATTGCTTTACTTCATGTATGTAATTTTATTCAGTTCAATGCTGAATTTTATTCAGCTTCAAATGCTGTGATGCACTGCATTCAGATAATCTCAAGGCAGCAGCTGCAAGATCCTGCTTCTATGACAAGAAATATGTGGCACAACCACAAGCATGCTCTAAAAGCTGAAATTTGAGTGTTGTGGTTTAACCTACATTAGCTCTGTTGGAGCTGAGATACACCAGGAGGAGCCAGAAAATACAAAGAAAGAGTTGGCATTACTTTCTAATGTGCTCATCATGAAAGCAGAGCTGTAAACATGTTCTAACCTCCACAGCAAATTGTTAGCAGTTAGTGTGGTGCTTTTTTCACTAATTGCTGTTTATATAATGGTAGATGTGAATTCAAAAGAACTTATTTGAACTTCTATGGAAGTTTGTACTTACAAGTTATTTCATACATACTGCACTGTTTGTTATTAAAAGCATAATATCAAGAGACAGAGCCTAATTTCTAATCTCGTTTTGTTTTATGCGCAAATTTCAAAAAGAACATTTTTTCCCCCCTCTCTTTTATGTCTTTTTTTTTTTTTAAATACAGAAGTATAAAAGCTTTCTGATATTGCTTAAACATGCAAAATAAACCAGCATGTTTTCCTTAGGATGTTTCATAGGTCTTACTTTGGATTGTAAACATTGTATGTGAAAAATATCTTTGTTATATGTCAGATTAAAAATTAATTTGTGTTTCTTGACAAATGTATTGGTTTCAAAAATGTTGTTTTGTTTTTATCTTTTCAGAATTTAAAGTTTGGTGATCCATCATGGGGAACCATGCAGGAAAACGAGAGCATAGCACTGAGAAGTCAGCCAAGGTGAGTATAGAAAATTGAAGAGAAAGTGCCACTCGGGAAATACGTATTCTGTGAAATACAGGAAATTTTTAGCACAGTAGTTTTTTACCAGATCATTGTTATCATTACTGTTTTGTAGTTTACACTGTAAAATGAGCACGTTTTTGAAAGAGTGTTCTATGAGATGTGCCCAAATGAAGATTTTGTTGTGCTGGATTTAGTGAGAGATGTGGTATTTGTTCCACAGCTGGTAATAATCTTCTCAGTCATGGTGGAAATGAATGAAAGGAACTTAGAATCATGATATTGTAGAATTCTTTTAAGAGTCATGAGCAGAATTGTGTTCTGTGTGTTGGGCAATAAAATTGGCTTCATCTATAACAAAGATATTATGAAGAAATAGGTAAAATAAGAGGCTTTTAAAGGACAAGCTTGTCAATCCAAGGAGAGACAGCTTTAAAAAAATCTCCTCCCTAGGGGAAAAACAAAAAAGAGAGAACTGTCAAAATGTTCACTCAAAGTTAGTATTTGATTCCTAAACATCTGTTGACACTGTTGTGTATTCTGCACATAATGTGGTATTCTGTTTGCCTTGTGATAATATATTGTTTATTTGTTTTTCTGTGTTGTACGGAAGAGATTTCACACATCTTAGAACATCTTTCTCTATATATTTATATGTAAAAAAACCCCAACCCGCTGCTTGTTGCTAGCTATTGCTATCTTCCCTCCACACATCCTCATCCAAAAATAACTGTTTACAGTCTAAGCCCACACTGTATCAAGCTCTTGACCTTTGCATTGGACAGAAGATGTAAACAGATATTTCTGAGCTTTATCTGGAGCCATGTGGGTATTTTGCTTTGCTGTGGCAGATAAGCAGCTATCCCCAGAAGGTGTGTAAACTAGAACTCAGACAGTTTTTAGTTCCTTGCCACTCTTTTAGGAAAATGCATAGTCACACTGGAGGGAACAGGGAGAAAGCAGCAGGAACAGAGGAGAGCTGGCTACATATGGTTTTGTTTTGTGTTGGTGCAGTACTCTGCAAAATGCTTTTGTGGCCCAAAATTTCGATTTTCAGTACAAAAAACAGTGTGAATCCCAAGTTGCTGTCTTGTTGCTGGTCTTGCAGACTTGACCTTTAGAAAACTCTGTTGTGCAGCAAAGTCAAATGCACCAAACAGATACATTTAATCAAATATTTTGATCCTTTCCGAGTAAGCATGTGAGATCCTGGAGGTATGATACATTAAGTTTACAGAGCTTGATGGGCTGCAGTGCACCAAATATCCCCTGCTTTGGTCTTTGAGGATAAAATTTGGTTAAAAAAACCCACATTGAATCTTCTCTCCTGCTATGGGCTCATGTTTGTTTTTGATGCATCTGGATGGCAGATGGGTGAGTTGTGGGGCACAGCTGGCTTCAAAAAGCTAAAAATTCTTCAGATTGTAACAGCCTATGCAAAAGGTGCAAATTCTGTGGTGGAGAGTGAGAGTCAGGTGACTGTAAGTCTGCACTTGGTATATGGGACAGAACTACAAGGAAATGGATTGCTGCAATTCTTTAAAATTCCTTCTCTTTCCTAATCAGTTCATGGAAAATACTTGATTCTGCAATCAAAATAGAATTTGTTTACCAAAGTTGCTTTGTGAAGCAGGAACTTAGTACTGTAGCAATGTTTTCTGTCCTTCGCTCATCCTCCTAGAGGGTCAAAAAACCAAAACACTAAACCCCTAAACTTTCAAATTGTCAGTGCTTGATGAAAATCTCCCTTTATGCACAGAAATGTGCATGATCTCCTTTTATCTAAAACAGTAATCATGCCACAGGAAATCACAAGACCATAGATTTAAAATCAGGAAATACATGATTAAAGCACTACTATGGATTCTCTGTAGTCGGTCGCTCTTGATTCGGTTCTTTCAGGCAGCATTAAATTTCTTAGTCGTTACATTAACCAAACCAGTTTGTTTTTCTTTTTTTTCTCTCTTTTTTTTTCAAAGCTGAAGTAGATTTTTTTATTGTTGTTCAATATTGCTGTAGATTAGAACTGTTTTCCCACTAACCTTCTAGACCTGCTGAAGGCTTACAGAGACTACGGTGGAAATGCTGAACTGCCTCTCCTCACTCATAGTAATAGAACTGCAGTAAAAGAGGTGAACATGTCACCAAGGCTCTTTCTAAATTTCATTACTTTCACTCTCCAGGCTGTTCATTTCCCAAAACTGTAGGTCCAAAGGAAAAAACATGATTTTAGGCAGCTTCTCTGAACCTTTGAGGCCACATTTACAGCCACTGAACTGCTCCTGGACTAGTAGACCATTTCTCCACAGAGCTATTTTTTGTGTAGTGACATTAAAGAGACTGTTGCCAACTGCAGCAATCACAGTTTTGGTTGTCCAGTAAATGTCCTTTAATCCAGCCATGACTTTGAGGTTAGTTTTGTGGGTTTTTTGAGTTGACATCTACCTTCACTTTACTTTCAGTAAATTTGTGTATTTAAATTACAAAATTAAAAACCGACTTCTGGAAATCAATTACTTCATGAAATGTCTAAGGTGACACTGATAAGCTTTCAAATTAGGAAATTTACAGAAGAGATTAAGATGGCTTCCCATGCTGTGACACTTCCTTGCAAATATTGTTCTTCTCTTGATATATAAATAGGGCAAACTACAATGATTACTTAATAAATAATGAGATACTGTGGAATTAAGTGAATGTTTAGAAAAAATATTTGACCTAAATAATGTGGAGGAGTGTTTACAAAGCCCTTCTGTTTTACTCACAGCAATAGCATACATCAGCTTATTTCTGTGGGATTTCTTTCTTGTATGTTTAACGGATCTGCATCTTTTAGAGTTTTGTAAGATATAAAAAAAATTTTCAATTAACCCAGCATTTTATCTTTTCTTTTTACTTTGAATGATACTAGACTTTGCAACTGCTTAATGTGTTAGTAAATGTTTAAGTCTTTATTTTGTTTGCTTTCTTAGTGTTAATACATGAGTTTGAACTTAACATAAATCTAAGAACAACAGTAATAAAAAGAAGGGGCTGTCCAGCATATTATTGCCATCCAAAAATCTTTGAACTTTCTTGCTATCTGTCAAAACTGGCCCTTAATATCATTGATTGTTAAGAAAGAGGGGTTTGGGAGGAAAGTTTCTGGCATTGTCCCACTTACTCCACAGCGACTTCCAAAAGCACCTGGTCCAAGTAGCCTGGTTTCCATGGTCACATAGTACTGTGGGGAGCTGGAAACCAAACTTGTGACCTATAATGAAAGATCAAAACACACTGCACTGCCATGTCAAGGGATTGCTCAAGAAATTTATACAGGATTGAGACATGTTAGATTATGGGAAATGCTGGATTATCTACCTAGTTCATGTCCTTTAGGTAATTGGGGTGTGCTGTAAAAAAAAAACAGCAAGGAACCAAACTCAATTGCCACTTCTGGTACCAAACTCTAAAATCCCTTGGGAAATGCAATTGCAGGCCGAAACTGAAAACAGACATAATGATGATAAGGCATTCAGTCTCAATTTAGTTTTCTTTGAACTAAAAATAATCTGTTAGTAATGACCAAGACTTGCTGGGTAGTGAACTTATGAAAAAATCCTGCCTTTCATTGCCTTGTATTATGTACCTAGCTTCTATAATGTGTTTTGCAGTGGTTGATTTGATGTAACTTTAATAAACTAACTGGTTCTCAGTGTTTAAGGAAAGCTCAGTGTAACTAGTTCAGGCTAAATTGCTTCAGTGAGCACGTATCAGTAAATCAGATGGTTTCTGTGCTGCTTTGGAGGAGATTCTATTTTCTCTCCTCTTTTTCCCCCCCTGTTGCCTTGCTAATGTTCTGAAATTTGCACCCTGTGTAAGGCTGCAGTCTGGTAACACTGACAGAAAATCTTCTCTCTTCATGGTGAAAGAGAGTTGAAATTCTTAAGATGACTGGCACATGATGGTAGTTGAACTGTTCATCTCATATGTGCTCAGCGATCTGCAAACATAAAAGCTTTCACTACCTCTCATGGCTTAGGCTGCTTACAGACCTGAGCTGCATGTGTGGTTTTTGCCAGGTGCTTCCTCTTGTTATGCATCATAAATTATCAAAAAAGGAAAAAATAGATTAAATACTTCTTACTTGCTCAGTTAATTGCTCTGAAGTGTTATTTTCATAAGATAAAGGTTTATTATTTTTTAGTATATGCAGGTTGAGAGATACGTGGCATACAGATTGTATGGGTTTTGAAGTCTGGGGTACATTTTTCTGTCAAAAGTAAAGAAAAAAAACCAGTCTTATTACCATACAGAATTAATCATGAAACCTTTTCACTTTTTCCCCCTAGCAAAGTTGTATAGCACTATTTTTATTTCTCAGAGTTTTACTCTTTCCTATAAAGCAATATAGAGCACAGGAACTCTTATGGTGTATTCTTTGCAATTTGATGGATTGATTAAAACACTCCCCCTTGAGCCAGTATGTTTTCTGAAGGCAAGTGGAAAGGAGAAAAAAACTTTAAAATGTTGAGAGCACCAGTGTTTTCTGTGAGAGATTTAATGAGCATTTTCACCAGTCAATTTTACAAGTTAGATATGCTCTGTAGAATCTTTATGACCATCCTGGTGCCTGGTACGAGGTGCTGCTGCTTTTGGAAGAGACAAATCTTCAAGGGTATGAAGGGCAGTTCTGGAAATTCAGCAATACCAGTTGAATTTGATAGATGTCTGTTTTCCTCATTTTCTACCATCAACCTGGCTTTGCCCTAGAGCAAATCCTCATATGCTCGCTCTGTCTTCCTATTTCATTTCCCAACCTTCGGGCTGTCTAACTGGATGGTTTGTTGGGACAGATGCTGTGTCATTCTGTATTAATAGTAGTGCTTGGAGACCTTGAGTGGAGCCTTCAGGCACTAATGTGCTTCTCCTGGTGAGATGGTATCATAGTGATACAGAAATGACTCTACTGTTTGAAACTTCTGAGAACACCAAGCATGAAGTAGCTGTGACATCTG